CTGCCGCCTAAGGGGCGATCTGGCCGACAAAGAAGGCAGAGGGCTAAAGGAAAACGAAGAACAAGGATCGGGGGGTCGTAGGTTCGGATGAGGCGGGATGGGCAAGAGCGCACCCGTTTCGAGTCGTCGTCGCTGATGGATAGAGGGATCAGCAGGAGCGTGAACTGACGAAAGAAAAATCGATGATGGCGGCGATGTTGGATAGGTCGTGGTGTGTATGTGTGGTGGTTCAGGTGTGTGGCCAAAGGTGTGTGGCCAGAACGGGTAAACTCTCCTGTTGGCGGCTCTGCTTTGGGTGGTAGTAGTTGGTGGTGGTCGTGGTGGTGGTGGTAGTCGTACTCTCTGACTGGTCGTCGTCAATGTCTTCGTCTCATTGATCCGAAGGCGACTGGACCTACTTTCCCCCCCACACAATGTCCCGAAATGCGATGAAGCAATGAGGTATGGCGCCCGACACACAAGGCCGAGGCAGAGATATGGTGAGCAGGCGAAGCAATGGCGCAACGGGCAGGCTGACGAGGACGATTGAGCACCAGATGGATTGGAGGAGGCTGAACAGCCAACACCACACGCACACACACACACACACACACACACATACACCTACACAAATGGCCCTTTCAGCTAAAGCTACCGGTCCGGAAAGGTTTCCGGCCGCAGGGTGGAGGAGTGGGAGGCCCGACCAGGGTCAGGTCCTTTTGGCGAAGCCTGTGAAGCGAACAAGGTGAGGCGGAGCTGGGGTTGGGGCGCTCGTTGGCGCTGGCGCTGGTGCCGACGCTGTTGCTGGCGCTGGATGCCTGGCGGGAGGAGGGCACATCCTCTGCTAGCAGCGGGGCCCAGTAGGACCCTGTTGTGTGCATTGGGTCGTCGATACCTCCCTACCTTGCCTACCTAGGTACGATTGAGACGCTTTGTGCGTGCTCTGTGCCTGTGCTCTCTGTCCATCGTGGTCGTTGTTGTGCAGAGCTCGCGCGCACGGCGCACGCGGGGACCCCGACCATGCTGGTGATGTGCGGCAACTGGGACAAGCCCTGAAGGCCTGCGGGGCCGTCCTCAGGGCCCTAGCTACCTACTTAGGTACCTTAGGTACCTACCTCTAGGCACCTGTCTGGGTACCGTGCCTTACAGTAGAGGTACTTGTAGGCACCTCACTCAGGGTGACAGCAAGCGGCACTCCATCATCCAAATAAACCCCTACCCTACCTTCCTCTCTCAATTGAATGCGCTGAATCTCTATCGAGTACACAATCGGTGACATGTGTGACATATGTAGGGATTGTGGTTTTTTTTTTTTTTGATAGTTTTAGACCGATAGAAACGTATCGTATCACGTTTCAGAAACAAGCTCATGTTTTTAGAGGCGCCAGGTGGTCTGGTCATCAGCATCTGCACCTTGTCGAGAGCCACATCGCAAGCGCGGACCTAGGGGGCCTCGGAGCGAGAAGCGCTACGGGCCCAACACGGGTTATCGACGGCACCATCGAGCGGGGATCACTGGGGCTCGAACGGGCCTGCTGGGTGGGTACCTTAGGATGCTGTTTTTTTTTTGGAGCAGTTCACTGAACCTCTTCCTTCACTGGGCTCTCCCTCCACTGGGCTCCTCATACACTGTGCTCTTCCTTCTGTTGTGTCT